TTCGTATACTGTGGAAATCGTCAGCTTTTATCGTAAACGGTAACTGGAGAGTTTGAACGGATCACGAGCAGGTTCTATCGGTCGAGTACGCTGGACAAGATGTCCTCCTTGATCACGTCTTCGAAAGCTATCCACTTCTCGATTCTCGATGAGAAATCCGTCCCTTCAGAATATTTTATCCGCTTTCCAACAGCAAGAGATTTATCCTTTTTCCTCGGAAATTTTTCCTTTAAAATTGAATATATGCATTTCTTCAAACGTAACTGGTGCGAGTGGAACGAATAAACTATTGTCGCGTCGTAAGTAGTATAAATCGAGTTCTGGGCGAACGCTAATCAAGAATCGTGCTTGTAAAAAAGTGGACAATTTTTGAGGGGGTGGAAACGAAACGAGAAAAATAGAGCGTGAAGAGAAATCTCGAAAACTTCTTGCCACGAATATCGATTTATAATTCCTCGCCATTTCTCGAAAAAAATATTCCTAGTTTTTTTTTTTTACGAGTTATTATTCTGGATTATTGTCGAGAGATTAAGTTTCCATCGACACTTGAATATTTCATCGAGTTACATCGGATTATCGATAAGACAAAGGAGAATAAAGCAGCGGAAACAAGATATTAGCTTCCATGATATTATATCAAGGTTATAAATTAAAGGATTGAATAATGAAGGCGATTAAAGCAGCAATGCCTTATGAGTCCAGTGTGCAGTATTCTACGATTTTCAATAGAGATTGGAAGAGAATAAAATATATACATATTTCACGAGATATTTCTCGTTTATTTGAATTTATTTATCAATCCAATTTTCTTTTTTAATCAATCGAGATTACGTGTTAAATGAAAAATTGATAATCATTCGTTCATTATTGACAAAGTTAACAAAGTATAAACTCATTGAAAGATTTTCAAAAAAAGAAAAAGTATTATAATTACTCTCAATTTGTTATTATTGCTGCTACTCGTAATATCAAATAATCTTGAGCTCGAAATAGCGCGAATCTTGGAACGGGGGTGTCGTTAAGAACCGAAACTCGGAAGTCGTGAACGTGGTGAAACGACCGTGTTCCTCCCGCGACTTCCGGCCCACGAATACCCGCTTTGACATGTTTAATGCAACGGATGGTGTGCATTTGGGCTCGATGCAACCGTGGTTGCATCGCATAAATATTTAAGTTGGCGACGTTGCGTATAAATGATACAACTATTCCATTATCGGAAACAGGCGGTCGTGGCCCGAGGAACATCGGGGACGTGGATCACAAGATGAAACGACACGCGTGAATAATTCATGAATAAGAGTCTGGAGTCTGCTTTTTGAACTTGCCACGACTCGCTACTTATAACTCCCTATTTAATTATATAATTTCGCCATGGAAACTGGGCAAATCGTGAATTCGCAGAAGCGAAGCAACACGCAGATAGGGTGGAAACTGGAGGGGGAGGAGGATATTAAGAGGGACATTATCTCGATGGAACGTAAGATCAATAGGGATTCGATTAACTCGTGGCAAGAGGGTGGCTTAATGTCCCATACAAAATTTGTATCGACAATATTCGATTTTTATTTTATTATTCTATTATTCTTTCGATTATGATATTGGATATCAATATAAAAAAAAACAATATTTTCACTACAATACTTTTCATATACAATACTTATCAATATCGATAATATTATTAAATCGTCTTATAGGTTTTTCAAGAAAGAAACTACGTAGGTTTCTTCACGAATTTTCCTTTTAAGGAGGATTCAACGTGAAAGCAACGTACATTTCTAATCCTTCAATGGAGAAAGTTGCCGAGTACTAAAAAATACTCGACGAATTTGTCGAAATCTTCTCGTCCCTCGATTGCTTCGTCTCGATACTTGTTGAACGTGTCTGTCGCGTGAAACAGGATACGGTGGAGCCTCGAAGGAAATTAGATCAGCGTGGAGGATTGAAGGATCCTCTTGCTCCGCCGGAGACAGTCGGAAAGGCGTGTGTCTCCGGAAAATGCATTTGGAACAGAAGGAAGAGAGCCATTCGATTTCAAAGCGGTATCGATCGCGACTTCCACGCGTGGAAGAGAGATCCTTTCTCTCTCTCTCTCTCTCTCTCTTTCCTCCTTTCGCCGCGGTTACTATCGTCGTTTCGAGCATGTTTCAATTAATAAAATACGCTCTATAAATCGAGCATCCACGCGAGATGGAAGGAAGGTTTATTCCACGGGCAAACAGCGAATAAATTACGAGTCCATAAAAGTAACAGACACCACTACCGAAATTAGATTGCTTCCATTAACCATTGATTACCGGCTGGTTGAATGGACACAGAATTTATTTCCAACCTCGTTCGATAATTAATTCGTTCTGTTCCGCGTGAAATTTCGCGAAATAAAACGAAAATATGCAGCTACGTGTTACTCGTGTTCTCGCTTGTGTTGAGGGGTTGATTCGAGATAAAATTGAAAAAGAAAAAAAAAGAAAAAACGAGAGAATTTTGGATTTCGAGTTTAGATTTGTAAATGTAAACGAATTTGATCTTATCTCATGGTAAGTAATTCATGAGAATATTTAGAATAGATAGAAATTTGAAGAGTTTAAATCAGGTTTTTTTTTTTACGTGTAACGTGTGAAATAAAAGGGAAATTTCGAGGTAAATTTGCCATGGAAACCAAGTAATATCATTAACCGTCGGATTTCTAAACTTTGTGAACTCAATTCTCTCGATGGACTTCTGGAATCGTGATTTCCAAGCCAGTTTGCGAGGTCTCATCGAATCTGTAATTCGATTCAGAAGAAAGAACAGGAAAGGGATTTTAGTCTTCTCTTCTTTAAAGAGATTTCTCTAATTTGTCGCAGAGAAATTTCGAAGATTTGTCACTATTATCATATCATAGAATTATATGTGTGCAAGCATATGATTATTAAAACAAAAAGTAAGGGACATTGATCGAACGAATGTTTCGTTCTTCTTCGAGTACTATGATCCCTTAATCCCTTAATGTTAAAGAAACTCTAAGAAACATTAACAAAATCAAAGAATTATTTGCAACTTGATTCAGAATCGAGAAGAGGAAATAGAAAGGATACGAATTTTAAAAATAGAAAATTTAAATGTTTCTCGATTAAAACGAGAGACATTTCTCATCTCCTTTTGACGATTATCTCATCTTTAATTCATGCACTTTCGTGGATAGATCAGAAATGGTCGTGTTTAATCGAGAATCGCGATAATCAAGAGCTATTTTTCCACGAAACTGGAAAAACGAAACGAATGATAACGCAGGTTGTATGAAGATTTTGTTTGTATATATACGATACATAATTCACAACACATGACTCGGGAGATACGACAAAACGTCAAGAGAGATATAAAATATTGGACGATACAATCGAAAGATTAAATATACTGGAGAAATATTCGTCCTCCATCCGATGTATCTTCTGTAGCTCGTTGCAATTTTCTTCTTCCAATAAACGAGTATTCTTTCAAATGTGAACATTATGACGATCAAATAAATTTTTCACGTGTACCAATCGTCAATACGTCATACAGACACGAATTTTTTGGTATATCGATAGTTGATGCGTGTTTAGGACAATCTGCGCGAAAGGAAAAGAGAGAAACAAATGTGAATTATTCGAGAACGAGAAACTGTTGGATATACAAGGGTGAGATAACAATTATTCGCAATTATTTGTGAAATTAGATTTCAAATATAAATAAATAATCTAATAAAAAAGAAATCAAATATAAATAATAAAGAATATTATCGATTATTATTGAAGTTAAATATTTGGAAAATGATCATTAAAATAATATCATGTTTGGATAGATATTTGAAATGTTTCAGATTATTTGAAGGAAATAATTTTTTTCTGGATTATTTCGTTATTTGTTTCTCGAATGAAATAATATTTTAATAATTTACAATAATCCTATTACATTTTATCATTCTCTCTTTGTTTGCTACAATTGATAGATTTACCACAATACGGATATTTTTCTCAATTTGTTTAAATCGAAAGCAATTTTAAAGGCAGAAGTGATTCAAAATGTAATAATTTAATATAGCCAACGTGAAAGTTAATTTGATCAAATGAACTAAAGAGATAATCTTATCACGAGCTGTTTTCATATCGAATTATTTTTCCATTTATTTGGGCAAAAATTAATTCAAACAAAAAGTTATTCGAAATATAATTTTTTTTTTATCAAAACAACAATCCTAATAATCCATCACTCGAAGATATTATTTATTTTTTTTTCTTATAACTATCATCATCCTTCGTCTATTTTTGATTATTGCTTTCATAAATAAATTGCGAATAATTGTCAATTCGTCTTCGTATAATTAACAAAAATTTACATAAACCTGTTATTTCCTCTTAGAGACTGTTCTCGAATGACGTTTTCGTTGACTATTCGCCTCTCGAATATAGAATCGTTTCATGGGCATGTCCATATGCTCCCAATGATGAGCCGCAATTTTCGCAATCACCTGGGACGGATAATTCTTGTTTAATTGCTCGTGAAGAGTGCGATAATAGTGTATGAAAGGGTTGATCGATCGGCAGAGCAAATGTTGTCTCTTCTTAATTCTTCTCGTTGGACCTTTTATTATTTCTCTCATCATTCGCCTCGAATCCATCAATTGCATATCTCCGATTTGCGATCCACACACTCGTGGATATTCACCGTAAAATTTTCTCGGGTTTGCTTTCTGCGAACATTGACGTTCTCCCCGTGTCAGTTCATCGACTTGAAGATCGTCGTGATATCGAAACTTGGACTTGTTCGTATTTCATTTTAAACGAACTTCTCCTTTAAGGATTATTTCTTTTATTTTAGGGACAAATGATTTGTCGAATATTTCCATTCAGATTATTCCACTCTGATCGATTCGCGTTGAACGAAAGTTTTCAAAAGCCAAAAGATATTTTTTTTTAACATAATATGAAAGATTAATTCGTAAAATTAAAAATATTAATATTACAAAAGAATAATTTACTCACATCGCACTGCGCGTGTCAGGAATATCGCGATTGCTGGGAAGCCCGTCGGATGCTTCCTGGTTAAATTTGTTCCTAGCATATGGATCCTCCCCGGCTCGTAATCCTCCCCTCGAAACATATCTGAAAATATATATTTGTAATTTTATTGATGAATATACAAATCTTATTTATCAACAGCGAAAATAGGGAAGAAACATCTGACAAGCGAATGAAACAATTAATATGCACAGAAGGGATATCAAGTTCTGCATTTCTTCTACAGCAGCTGCATTAATCTCGCGATGGTTTTTCGGATGTTTAACAATGCATACGGCCAATCAGTATTCAATTCTTGCGGCTTGCAATCGAGATTACACTCGAAATCACTTTCCAAATACTTTCTATGGCATCGCATCATGAATTAGAATCAACGAGACTTATTTATTCGATGATGAAATTGAATACATTTTGCATTACGGTATATAAATATTCATTTAAATTTAATTAAAATTACAATCAACCCTCATCGAATGTTTTCGAATGTGATTCATGACAAAATATTTGTAAATCTTCACGATGTTTGTCGAAGGATTAATACAATTTTTCTGCCAGAGATATATCGATCGATTTTTAAAATGAACTCATGATCTTGATTTGTGACGATGATTGTTTGAATTGGTTCGAACGAATGTTCGTGTTTTTTTTCACCGACAATTTATATTGGAAGAAGAATATATATTGTGATAGGAAATTGGATTTTTGTTATGAAACGTGATAGATGGAAGAAAAAACAAAAAAATAAATTTGTAATATAAATTTTCGATTCGAAAATCATCAGTCTAAGAATAAAATGATGTCCATCCATTAATTTATGTGAAAACCACGTGTTTCGAGATTGGCATCGAGGAGAAAGAAATTATAGCAAATACCAGACAAGTGAAAATTTTTCGTTAAGAAAGACAAAAATATGGAATAATGATCAGAATGATGAGTCGATTTTACCCTTGCTCATCGAAGTAGTTCCACGTCACCCTTGGATCCGGGGTGGGTGCAGGTAGCAGCTCGGATGACATCACGATGGCGGTGCCATCTGGGTCCACGTAGTTGCCGGAGTTTCCGGCGGAGAGAGCCAACGATGCAGGCTCCTTCAGTCGCAAGGCTCTGTTTTCGTTCTGTAAGCAAACAAAAATCTTCTTGAAGACGTTCTATCAAGTTTACCAAGTCGAAATCTGTTTGTCTCGTATAAATATTTCACGCTGCGAGCAAACATCGTGTCGATAAAGAATCAACTTGATAGAAATCACAAGATTGATAAAAGAAAATATCTAAAAAAAGAAAAATTCCTCTCGATTATAATCAACAATAATTTCGTGAGCGTGACAAGGTTTATTATAATTAAATACATGGAATCATTGATATATAGAATCATCTGCCTTGTTTTTACACGTAGAATTTCTTACTGAACAATGAATGCATACTTGTTTATTCCATTGAAGTCGATCGATTTACCACTCGATGAAAAGTATCATCATTCTGATACTCCAACAAGTTACCATTTAAATTATAACACGGCAATCTATACTCTGATAATGATAATTTTAATAAAAACACAACAAACTTATATTCATTTTTAACCTACAATATATTTCAAAAAGAGAAAAAGAAAAGAATGTTGTTAATTTCGTCATACTCAAACATCCAACAATTTCTAAAAAATTCCTTCGAAATTATTCGTTCCTCGAAATAATCAACATTATCTTTTTAATTCTACTAAATAACTCCTTGCAGCCAATAAAACCATCACCATTAAAACCAACCATCCCAGAAATTAATCAACGATCCGCTAAAATATAATCCAAGAATCCAAGGCATGTGGCTGAAAGTTGAATAACGTCGAGATAGTTCCCCGACGGTATCGGACGACACTTCGAGATATTCGATTGGCAAACTCGCGATAGCCAGTCGCAGCTGGGCGACATCCTCGAACGGGCAGAGTTTTCAAAGGCAAGAATGGGATCGATGCAAGAATCGGTCGGTCTTCGCGGCGTTTAGTTGGCTTCGATACAAGAAGCAATTGTAAGGATGGCCAGGGGATGGCTTCGTGTCCCTTTGTGTTGACACATCATCGAGATACGCCGTATTGATTTTGAATCGATATGGAGAGTCGCGAGGCACTTGGCCATCTCCCCGTATGCCCTTTGTGCCCGGAGGACGCATTGTGCATCCCCGGTATATAGGTCATCGAATTTTGCTCATCGGCTTCCATCCCGGATCTCGACCTGTCTGTTTGCCTGGTATGGATGCGCGTCAGCGGCTTGACTCACCGTGTGCAGGTGTGCCGATCGACCATTGATGCACACGTAGACTTTGAACGATGCTTCTGCCGTGATCGTTGATTCCGCCAGACAACGGAGGAATTAACCCTTTCGAGATTAATAGGCCAGTACATTGTTAAATGTCGCCCTGAGGATCGGAGAGTCCAATAACTTTTTTTCTACTATCGCTTCACGAATAGTATAATCTTGTTGGAAGTTGGGATATCGTTTATTCTGGTTTGAAAATTATATTCGTTCTACTTCTTTTTTTCTTATTATTAATCTAATCGATTTTCGAAAATATAATTCTTAGGTGTAGGTTCTCTCGGATATATGTATAATCTTAGATCATGCGAAAATACGAAGCTTGAAACTGTAATTTGTATATCCAACGTAGGATTATCTTTTATTTGTTAAAAGATAAGAACAGAGAAAGAGAATAGAAATTTATTATTCATAAATCTAATGAAATCCTCGCATCGAGGATTAAGTTTTCAATTTATGGTGGCGAAGAAAATTAAAAATAAAATTCCGATGGATTCGTGGAACTTCGTATCGAGCTATGACACGATATACATTATCGGGTTGAAATAATGAAATTATCGATCTTTGGAATAAAAGGGCACACGCAAAAGTGAACTGTAAATAACGATAGATTCTCTACGTAGGTGGTGTAAATGGCGTGGCTTCACGGTCAAAGATGCGGAAAGGAAAGTAAATGACTCGGACGAGAACAAAAGGGGCGAGTCGAGCAGTCGATGGAAAACGAACCGTGAAAGCTGAACGCGAGAAAGAGAGAAAGAGTGGATAGGGAGATTGGAAAGAGGGAGAGAGAAATGCGACAAAATGTAACCACGATGAAATATTAATTTACGGGTCAGAGGGTGCATTAAACCGGAAGTACAGTCGGCTAGCCACAGCGCGGCAAGCTGTTGCATCCGGTTCCCTCGTGGACCACGTGACGTTCGGTTCGTCGAAATGAAACTCGATGAACTCTCGAGTTTCATCGTAAATCTGTTATAATATTTAACAGTAATAAGAAATCGGTATGCTGTGGAAAAATCTTCATACTACTCTTGGTCGTCAAATACATATATGTATGGAGACGTGTGAATTTTGAAAGTGAATTCATTTCATGAATTCTTTTAATTTTTAAATTTTTACAAGTATTGTTTAATAATGTAGGATTAAATAATATAATTTATCTAATGTGAGATCGTTCAAAATGTACGATAGTGGTTAGTGATAATTCTTAATATTGAAATAATTGTAAAATAATTGAGGAGAACCCTCATGATAATTTCTCCATTACAGCATCTGTTCCTTCAAACAAATGGAACAATAAAAACTTTCTTTCCATGCGAAATGGTAATATTCAGGAAATTCGAGATTCCTCTCCTTTTTTCTTCTTCGTTGTCCATAAAATTTCCATAAAAATATATTTCCACGCATCGATCGACCGTTCGGCGACGTTACATCGAGTATTTCGCAACACGATCGTGGTCTCGTCGCATTATCTCTTTTCGGTTGACAAATTCGCCACACGTATCCGTCATAAAATTCATTGCGCGTGCAACGATTACGCGAACCTCCCGGAAATGCAGCGACGCGGGCTTATCGCGATAAACTTGAACAATGACCGTGGTGGCTCTAGCCGGAAGATTGTGTGCGCGAAAACGGAAGCGTGGATAAAAAAAAGCGTCGCCAACATTACAGGAACCACGTACAAACCGGTCCAAATAGCTGATATTTCTTTGTTCTCTCTCATCGCAAATCATTTTGGCGAATCGCGCGACAGAATGAAAGCTATCATATTTTACACATCCTGTTGGAATTGATTGCGTTTTTCAATTCAGTTGCGTTCTTTTATATTATTTATTTATAACTATTCTAATAATCCCCAAAACAAAAAGGATATTTCGTATTCCTATTCTTTCTTCTATTAATGAAATAAAATATAAAAGCATGAAATTAAATAAATTTAACTCTTCATTTATATGGTGATGAACAAATCGGATACGAATGAAAGTTTGACTTTTTATTAAAAAAAAAAAAAAAACGCGAGAAAGAATTATTAATATTGTCATGAAAATCCATTCAGAAGATAAAGGAAACTACGTTATTGAAGTTGGTTTTTGATTCATCGCGATATCTCGATTGGTTGCCGAGATATAAAGGTTTAAAGTTTATAGCGATTAAGACAGCGCAAAAATTATGAATGACTCGCGACCTATATTCTTTCCCTGGAAATGCGTACTATTTCTAGGAATTACGTCTGCCGCTTGTCTGGAGTTTGAGATAGGTTAGTGAGACGAGGCGCGAATGAGAGGTCCAAGTAAACGACAAAGATGGAGATAATAAAAGATCAAAAATTACCTTTCTCTTTACACGATGATATCTCGGGAACCGGAAGTCGTATCGGGATAAATGAAAAAGCGTTTTAAAGGGGAAGGTTCCACGCTTCTAATAATTTTTCGCTCATTGATAAAAAATCATTATTTTGAAAGTTATAGCGGTTTAAATTTTTTCTAATTTTAATAGGGTTTAATTGAGTTTAAAGATTAAATTATGCCGTAGATATGTTTATTTCTGATAAAATATTGTTTATAACGATTTTATTAATGGCATGTTGAAGGCTTTAAGCCGATTTAAAATTTTTCCTCGAAGTAAATTGGATCTTTATTCAATCCATTTCGTTCGAGTTTAATTATGTTGATTAATCAAAGAGGATTTTATAGATTCCTCCTTTTATATTTTAGCCCCTTTTCAATCGAGTAATGTATTGCTTTTTATTTTTATTTTATCGTCAACAATAAGTGAGATATTTAATCAAGTTAAACAGGGCACTTTGAATAATAACAAAATCGATTTTCTGTTAATAAATTATTAGAGCACCGTAATACTATTACTACTGTATATTGGGATATAATACAGATTCTAATAATCGGAGAATGCATCCATAATGCACAAAAATTTCATGAATTAATTTAATCATATCAACATGTCACTCTATTAAATTAATCTCTGAACAAGTGACAAAGTGACACGAAAATATTTTATATTCTAACCGTAAATTATTAACAATTTCACATTGTTTTCTCTCGGATTAAATTATCATTATTTACCTCGAAGATAAATCAATTTGATGTTGTTATGTTTTCTTTTTTCATGGATTAATGACGTTCAACAAACCGACACCTTTCTCATTGCGATAATTGTGAATTAACGTAGAATTCATTGAAATCATCGCCAATCAACTATTGTTCAGTATAATCTTAATAATAATTTTGCGATTTCAATTTTCTGCCAAATTATTTTATTGAATATTAGACATAAAAAAAAAGGAAAACGAATAAGAAAAAGAAAGTAATAAAAGAAAAAAATTATTTTCTATCGCATAAATCATATCTATCGCATATATCATAATAAATCAAACTGACTTAAATTACTAAATAAATTCGTCGTTATATTTTTTACGGAAGAATTGACTCAAGATTGAAAAATCCAACGATACGACGCATCAAAATACAAAATAGAAAAAAATATATACATTTCTTTCTTATTAAACATACTTTCAATCAAAATAATAATAAAAACACGTCTTACTTCAACAACAACAGAGCAGAGACACGATTCCACGATACTGAAAAAAGATACACAACAGTTCGAAGATGCACGCAAGATTGATATTCAAACAAAATATTCGAAGAAGCATCATCTGTTGAAAATTGAACGAAATATTCAATCATAATTTCACATCAATACCAAGTCGATCAATCATTTCACCTTCACTTTCACGCACATCCACCCAGAAGTTGTAACTTCTCCTTTCGTAACTTTGTTTCACGATAAGAAAG